CGAGAGTTCGAGACTTAAGTAAGAGTTTAACCTAGTACCCTTGAGTCCCACCCAAGAGAGAGAACTGCCCCAGCCCAACCCATCATTGAATGGGGTGTAACTTGATCAAAGTATTGGGATTAAGGGGGAATCCAGAGTCTCAAAAGGGCTTAGGCTTTCACACAAGAACGAGAAAATTTGACCTTCCTCAAATCCTCAAGACAATTGGAGACCAAGGATAGGTGCACAACCTTTGTGCCTCAATTGTGCAAGGTAAAGAATAATCACAGCCTTGTTCAGCCCTAATAGACGATGAAATGAAGGAACTCATCTATCTCAACATCCCCATCTCAGCTATACTCATTCTATAGATTGTTGGGATTTTGTGGCCATTTAAAGGCCTTACGAGAGCATGAAATGAAATTTTATAATAGTGGAATAACAATTCCAACAGAAGTATGGTCCAGAAGGGCCGAAGTTGGCAAGATTGATGCCAAGACTCAAATTAGGCTTGACGAGCTAGGCCGAGTTGAGTTCCAAAACCCTATAGACCTGAACATATAACACAACCAAGAACGGTTTGCAATATTAGCCCTTGATGAGGTCAAAGAGATGCCTAAGGTAGTTGGCCAATGAACTTAGTGACCCTTACGTGCAATTGATATGCATGAAGGGACAACGGCCAAATCCTCATCATGACCATCACACGACATGTACATATAATAGCCATATTGGCAAGTAAATACCATTGAGGGTGTTGCATGTAAATGTGCGAGAGATAGCCCCCATGCACCAATTACGATAAGCATGCATAAGTTTGTGTGACCTAAGCTTGTCCCTAGGGGTACCTGTTGTCCATAGACTAGGGTTGTGTTCTCATCACCTATTGGCTAACTTTGGTAGTCCAGTCATGAATCCCAATAATGGATTGTAGGTCATGGGAACTATTGGGTCAGTTTGAGAAAGTGAGTGCGGGACATATTCACTAGTAGAAATGGAGTGCCTCAGTATATTTGAATTTTCCTTAATGAAGTTGGATCCAATTCCCATCAAAATAATTAATTTTGTGTTAATGATTTTTTGAATATTAATAAGAATTTTTAACTCTAAGTATTTTATTTTAAAAATCCAGAAAGAAAAATAAAATATCTGTGATTTTCTAAAAATCAATTTATTAATTTTAAATTTAATTAAGATTGTGGGGGCACAAGATTTAATGGGGCCCACCACATTAGGCCCACTTATGTGGGGTGTGGGGCCCACTTGTGTCATCCATGGGTGGGACGCCCCACTCTTTCCCTTTTCTCTCTTATGACACAAGATGGTCGTTGAGGAAGCCATCAAGGAAGAAAGTATGACTCTTGATTGATAATCATATGACATTAATTTTAAATTATATGACATTTTTCATAAAAAGAGATTTTGATGGGATTAGGTTAAGGAAGCCGATGGATAAGGTTCTAGCACCTTCCATCATGATCAACGGTCTAGATCGAATCTCCATAAGGATGGCTAAACCCTAAATCCCAAACCCGCCTCACTAATATAAATGTATCTCATTGGGGTTCAAATCCTACACCCTAACCTAGAGCTCTCTCTCTCTCTCT